TAAACTGACCCTCTGAAACAGTTCCCCAGTTTTGCCGATCTCTATCCCAAAATAAAGCACACAATCAAAAATCACGCATTTTTGTTCAAATATCGTCCGTACTAGAAAACAGTTTCCCTTTCACAGTTTTTTCCTTTCTGCTCGAAGATGGCACTTTCTGAACAGTTTTTCAGGAATTTTCTGAATGAGCAAAGTAATAAAATCGTTAAAGCATACGGAGCAGAGCGCATTCTCGGAACGTTTCAGAGCAATCGATCGATCATTCAGCTGGCTCTTCAGTTCGCTGATTTCAGCATCACGCCCTCTTATCTCCTCGGCCATGTTTTTCCGAGTATCCTGACTGGACTGCAACTCTCGCTGAAGTTTCCTCACCTCTTCCGCATGCTTCTGTTTAAGCTCTTGCATTTCTCGTACTAAATGCTCATTGCGTTCTTGTAATTCGCGACTGCGTTCCAGTTCTCTCCTGTAAACCACAATGATACATGAACTAGCCGCACTGCAGAAATGGTCGAGCAATCTGTCCGGCGTTCTCGACTACCAGTCATGTGTAGCTGTCCCAAGCCCTCCCTAGGATTATATTATGTAAATACCATCCCTTTGGATGTCGTTTTCTACCTTCGAATATGGCTCAACTATGAAAGAAGCCCATGGCTCGCCCACCAAACTGAATTTCCCCTTTCATTCAGGAAAGTATCCAGAATGCCGCCCACCACGCACTTCAGCATCCTATACAGATTTCACTGTAACAAAAATCGACCAGACTTTCATAGAACTGCATTCAGCCTCTACATTTCGCGTATTTCGACAATACGCCTGCCTCTAATTAAGTAAATGGATGAATTGCCAGTTACTGATGTTCAACCCAACTTTTTCCAGTCCGTGCTACGCAACAACATTATTTCGAGAGAGGCAGCAGGAATGTACTGCCAGAGTCGCTACTTAACTGCCACACACGTGGACCGGGATGGTGAACAGTGGTTCTACAAAATAAAGAACCAGTTTCAGAACGATCATCAAAAAAAAAAAAAAAAAACCAAGTCCACTGTATTATTCAATTTTGATAGCACTAAACCTAAATAAGACTATTCAGCAGCTAGAAACAATTGAAAACCCCCATTCTGCCGCACAACAGTGAAAAAGAAGATCTGAAGAATCACCGCCCGATCTGCCCACCCCC